ACATTTCATCAAAATGTTGCGTTGTCGCATTGTCGCATGTCGCGTTTTAGTCAAATACGTTATAATACATATTGAACATATTTTAACAAAGCGCGACAACGCGACATTTCATCAAAATGTCGCGTTGTCGCATTGTCGCGTTTTTAGTAAATACGTTCATAGGCGCTTGACTCTGATATGTTTATAAGTATGACCTATATATATCTTACCTATATCTTATATATATAGGTCATACTTATAAACATATCAGAGTCAAGCGCCTATGAATACGATTATAATACATACTATACTCAATATTTTAACAAAGCGCGACACGCGACGCGCGACAACGCGACATCATCAAAATGTCGCGTTGTCGCATTGTCGCGTGTCGCGTTTTATTAGTTACGGCGGAATTTCAAAACTATTACAAGGATGATTATGTTTAGATGCTTTTAAAGGGCTAACATACACAGGGATCGAACTGAGAGTAATAATAAATGTGGCCGTGAAGTCTGAGGGTTAAGAGCTCTTGGTTAATGGAATGGATGTGTTGAAACTGGCCATTTTGCTGAAAATTATTATGATTGAGTAGGTGTATGTGTGAAACGATACAAGTACATGTGTATCGCTTGATATATTATTATTATTATAAATAATATAGGATTCAAATAGAATTGAAAATCAGACATCACAACACATTATTGTAATGAAATATCTTGCTAATTTACCTAGTTCCCTAAACCTTGAGTGAGTGAGTGAGTGAGGAGTGAAAGTGGAGTGGCGTGGAGCGGAGAGGAGAGGAGAGGAGTGTAGAGGAGAGGAGAGGAGTGGAGCGGAGAGGAGAGGAGAGGAAAGGAGAGGAGCGGAGAGGATAGGAGAGGAGAGGAGAGGACCGGAGAGGAGAGGAGTGGAGGGAGAGGAGCGGACAAGAGAGGAGAGGAGGGAGAGGTGAGGAGAGGAGAGGAGGAGGAGAGGAGGAGGAGGGACCGAGAGGAGAGGAGGGCGGAGCGGAGATGAGCGGAGGAGGAGGAGGGTGGGAGAGGAGGAGAGGGAGGAGGAGAGGAGAGCGGAGAGGAGGTGAGGAGGAGAGGAGAGGAGGTGGAGGAGGAGAGAGGAGGAGGAGAGGGAGAGGAGAGGAGGGAGAGGAGAGGAGAGGAGAGGAGAGAGGAGGAGAGGAGAGGAGAGGAGAGGAGGAGGAGAGGAGAGGAGAGGAGAGAGGAGGAGAGTGGAGGGAGAGGGGAGGGAGAGGAGAGAGGGAGGAGAGGAGAGGAGGAGAGGAGGAGGGAGGAGGAGCGAGGAGGGAGGAGAGGAGAGGAGGGAGGAGGAGAGGACAGGAGGGAGAGGAGAGGAGGAGGGAGAGAGAGGAGAGGAGAGGAGAGGAGAGAGAGAGGAGGAGAGAGGAGAGGAGCGGAGAGGGGAGAGGAGGAGGAGAGGACGGAGAGAGGAGGAGAGGAGAGGAGTGGAGAGGAGATGGAGAGGAGAGAGGAGAGGAGAGGAGAGGAGAGAGGAGTGGAGCGGAGAGGAGCGGGGTGGAGAGAGGGAGAGTTGGTTTCTGCCACTCCAAGGGTACGCAACCCTGCTAAGCGATTTCATCGTTTCTAATATCATAATGATAACAGTCCATTTGTATGGCGTTTTCCCAAAAAGAAAATCACGTTCAAAGCCGACCTAAACTGTCTTTGAGGTGCTGGATGGTTAAGTGATATTACCACCTCATTCTACCTGGTATCCATCCACTGCTGGTTGAACAGAGGCAGATGTCGGACAAATTCATCAGCGTCGGACAGGACTGTACCAAGAAATGACCCGATGTGGCCTGAATTTTAACAATATTTGAGTTTTTTCACAACCTGTGAGCTTGATCTAGGTGAAATGTTCAAAGTGATGAATGTGTATGGTGCTGGGATTCGAACCTATGATCATAGTTATCTAGTGTGACTAAGAGACACAACCCTGCATAGCAAATTGCCTCGCCTTGAATGACAGTCATTACAATGAATAGTAGCGCTAATAATTTGTCTTGCTGCTAAAACACACTTGATTGGCTAAACACAGTTACAATCTATAAAATAATAAAGCAACAATGAAAGATTTCCATTAAGTTCAAGAAAAGCAGCCCCCATTGCCATTACGAGCACTACTTCATTGTAAAAACCATTGGAGGTAACAAAAGACCAGTGAACGCCGAAATAGAGTATAACATTGTCTGCGCATGCGTAGACTAATTGACTTTCTACACATGCGCACCGGTAATCGAAAAGGGCGAAAACGCGTTTTAGTCATATGTCATAATACATACTATACTCAATATTTTAACAAAGCGCGACACGCGACAATGCGACAACGCGACATTTCATCAAAATGTCGCGTTGTCGCATTGTCGCGTCATAATCTTTAGTAAATTTTAGGCTGTTTTTACACATCTTACATAGGGCGACGCGCGACAACGCGACATATTTTGACCTTGAAAATTGTCGCTATGTCGCGTGTCGCCCTTTGGAGGAATGAAAAAATATATTATTCAAAACGCGACATGCGACATCGCGACAATGCGACAAATGGGCGAAATTTCGCGTGTCGCCTTTTGGTTTAATTTTGCTTGTATTTGAGAGGGCGACAATGCGACAAAGCGACAAGGTCCCTTCCAGGATTCCATAGAAAACAAAGATACATGAATGACATTTTGTGGAGCAATGCATTGCTATCTTGTCCATATCTCATGAGAATAAGTCATCACAGTCATTATTGCTGTCCACCAGGTGGTGTTGAAGTCAGTACCTCGTATGACCACCTCCAGCTGCTACCACTGCCCGACACCTCCTGGGTACAGATCGAATCAGTCGTTGGATGTTTTGTTGTGGAATCCTTCTCCATTCCTCCTGCAGCATGTGGAACAACTGTTGAAGATTCTGTGGTGGAATACGACGTCGACGTACCCGTCTATCGATCTGATCCCAAAGGCGTTCGATTGGGTTTAGATCCGGGGATCTGGAGGGCCAGGGGAGGGTATTGATATTGTTATTGGCCAGGTAGTCAACGGTGGCATGTGCTGTGTGGGGTCTGGCGTTGGCCTGTCGGAAGAGCTGCCGTTGACGGTCAACAAAGTGAAGGACGTGCGGACGGAGAATCTGGTCGATGTATCGATTGGCCGTCAGATTGCCTTGGACAAACACAAGTTCCGATCTGCGGGTGTATGAGATCGCTCCCCACACCATAACACTCTCTCCACCGAATCTGTCCACCTGTCTGATGCAGTTAGGAACAAAACGTTCATGACGTCGTCTGTAGACACGGTCTTTACCATCACGTCGCCTGAGGAGATAACGGGAATCATCGCTAAACCATATGTGCCTCCAGTTTGCCAGGTTCCATGGCAGCACCGTGTTACACCATCTCACTCGTCGACGTCGATGTAGTCGTGTCAAGGAGGGGGCAACTTTTGGACGTTTGGCACGTATTCCTACTTCTCGGAGACGGTTCCTAATTGTCTGATCGGACACTCTTCGGGCTCCAAACTGTTGTTGTGCTGTGTCCCGGGAGGTACGATGGCGGTCACGTAGGTGGGTTACCCGGATGTACCGATCTTGGGCAGGTGTGGTGACTCTAGGTCTTCCTGATCTTTGACGGTCATTTGTCGAATTTGTTTGACGAAATCGATCCCACAATCGAGTTATTGTGCTGGGATGAACGTTGAAGATCCATGCCACCTCACTCTTTGATTCGCCAGCTTGCAATCGTCCAATTGCCTGATTTCGATCGGCAGCGTTGAGACGTCCCATTTTCGTGTACAGTACTTGCAAAGATCGTGGATGAAATTGTGAGATTCATTTGGGTCTTTTATAGTCACATGCTGTACTCTTGCTTTGCACGTGAGAAACAATCATTGTGCCTGATATTCGTGCTGCATGACATCCACGCACATCATGACAATCCTGATTGATAAAACCGTTCAAAATCATTTTTGGTTGCGTTTGGTCAAGCATGATCTTCTAAAACATTCCAGAAACAATGTGCAACCCTAAAAAAATGTTTGAGTTTACATATGTGTACAAAATTGTAAGTATCATTCTTGAATTTCATTTTGCGTTTCTTTTTCTGAAGAGAGTATTATTGTGATTGAGTGGGACATGTGTTAATGATATGTTAAAGATGTGTATAAAGTAGTAAATGTATATAAAAAGGTCACTTGCATTTTCTCATTCTTTGAACACCCCTCTGATCACTGCATGTGGACTCTCCCATTCCCTCTTCGCCTACTTCTTAGTAATCATCCAGGCGTTACATACGTGCATTCCCTAAAAGATTTTCCGTACCCAATGGGTTAAAATTAGGCGAAGTGGGAGGACACCCTTTATACAGACGCCGAGCCGACCAGTCCTCCGTTTTTATCCCCTTAATACCCAGGCTGGGTAACGACAAGCACCGTCGTTTGACATCTTGTGGTGTGATGAGGCCAGGGGGTCGAACCACAGAGATTCCGCTCACTGGGCAAACGATCTATCATCTACACCATCACAGCATGAACAAGTACAATATATGAAGAGGCAGGAACGCTAAAGCAAGGCTTGATGTATATTGTAATGGGTTCATGTATATTCACACAAAAGCATCATGCATACCAACCTGTCTTTTTCTTGATTATTTTAATAATTATAATATAAATTTCAGAAACGCATTCAAAGGAATGGTGTGGAAATACGAGATGATATTGCTGAAATTAATCCATGCATATCTATTAGTATCTATAGAAAAATGCTATTCTATAACAATAGCACTGTAAAAATAGATTATGTTATTGATACTGCCGCTTTTTAGCGTACCTGAATATCAATATATACATGTATTTGTTACGCGGGTTGACATAATGTAATACATAGTTTCGATGGTTTCATATAACACTTTCATCAGCAAATAGTGCTATCTCTTACACAAACATAGCAATATTTAAATGCAAGTGTCCTACGGATTCTAGGATACACCAAACCCAAGGAAGGAGCTAGTGTACTTCTCTTCCCAACATGGCGGGAGGTGTACGGTAAACTGTATTCTTAGTTCCTTACTCTGTTTCCTTTTGTCGCGACCCGTGAAGATCCGGGATAGAATAGGTCTTCAGCAACCCATGTGCTTGCCATAAAAGGCGACTATGCTTGTCGTAAGAGGCGACTAAAGGGATCGGGTGGTCAGTTTCGCTGACTTGGTTGACACATGTCATCGGTTCCCAATTGCGCAGATCGATGCTCATGCTGTTGATCACTGGATTGTCTGGTCCAGACTCGATTATTTACAGACCGCCGCCATATAGCTGGGATATTGCGGAGTGCGGCGTAAAACTAAACTCACTCACTCCTTTTGTCGCTGTGTGGGACATCTGACTGCATTTTGTGACGTTGTGACATTATACTGACCAGTAAGACATTACACAGTTGTGAAGTCTCATAGACTAGAATAGCCTGCCATTGATATTTTGTGTTTCTCATGCCTTTAAAGATCTTGTATTCTTAAAGTGACGTCGCCCAATCATGAATGTTCCACATTGTAGGTTTAAGGGCAGCATAGACGTCAACACTGACTGACTACACACGTTCTTGGGAAAAAATGAGAATTTCCTACAACGAATAAAAACAGAAGCATTAATTGTTATAATTTAAACCCTTTAATCATGGATGTAGTGTTTTAGTATTTAATGGAACACGTCAGAGAGTAAATCGAAAAAAGGCACATGGACGCTTTGATGTCGACATGGACATGTGACGGTCCACAGCAATCTGCACATCTACCTCAGTTACCATTTGACGCATCTTTATATCACGTTTCAGTTGATCAGTGATCAACAAGCTGACAATTTCACGTTGTCACAACGTTATGCTTTCGTGTTGTTACGTTATTCTGTAGACACCCATTGACGTTGTCACAACGTTGTGGCCTGACGTTGTGATACGTCATTGTTACGTCGCCACAAGGTCAAGTTATTTGATGCTAACGTATTTTACGTTGTCTTAACGTTCTATTTAACGTTAATAGTTGAATAGTTTTCCCAGTAGTGAACAGTACATAAGAAACAAAGCAGAAATTCACTTCGATGTTTATTCGTCAATTCGCATGTTGTTTTGGTCGTGTGTTTTCTGAAGCTGTAGTTGAATAGTGAAGAAAGAATCTCAAAGTGACAGATTTTACAGAAAACTATATATCGTGACACCAAGTTATAAGAAACGTTGTTAGGAGCCCAAAGCATAACGTTTTCCTCAACGTATATTTGCAGCGTTGTTATTACGTTGTGACATAATGTTATAAAATGACGTAATACTAACGTTGTTTATCGTGTCGGACAGTATGTTACCAAGAGCTGTATTATACCTTTCCCATTTGGTGATGGAATTATTTGAATACTAATACGTTCATACTATGTTTGGCTTTCAATCTATGAAGGGTCATACTAAAATGAACTCAAAGTGAAATTAAAAGCTCCTAAACCCTTTCTGCATCCATAAAAAGCTTCTGTTTAAGGCAGAGCCGACTGTACAATTCCGACGTTAGGGACCGTTCATAATTTATGGCTAGTTTTTTTTGGGGGGGATTGGATGACTTTTATGGAGAAGTATGTACAATGTGAATGACCCCCACCCCCCTGCTGACCCCCCTAGTACGTGTGTACCAAATTAATGACCCCCCTTGCTCCCTAGAAAAAAATGGTTCAAAACACACACACACACACACACACACACCCTTAAAATCATCATCATTCCCTCCCCCGAACGGTCCCTTATCATGAACTAATTACCATCAAGTACTGATGGTACCAGGTTATCGCGAAAACGTGAGCATATCCTGCCCTATCTGTGGCACCCGTTATAAACAATTCCAATGCTTTTCTTCTGTGAAATACATGTGAACGTATGGTGCAAATAACAAGGGATTTGCACGGGACATCATTTTAGGCGTCAAATTTGGAAATGTATTCCATATGTCTTCCATAAAACGTTTTGAAAGCTATACTGAAGCCTTGGACGTTGTAACTTTGGCCAAACAACCAGCAAGAGTGATACGGACCTCTTTGAAATCTTGATAAATAGAGCATGCTCGACTGTACCTCTTGAAACGTAAAATCCAAAGGCACCGAAGTCAATTAGTAAGTCTATCTATTTATAAATCTTTAAGTCTTTTTGTAAATTCAAATATACCTGGAATGTGTATCAATCAATCACTAAATGACATATGTTCCATTGTCTTTTAACTGCAATCATATCTTATTAACATGGATGATTTTTTATCGTCTTCCAGTTGTTGGCTGAGAAAGCTTGCAAACACTATATCAAGGTACGCTTTAACGTAAATGCTATGTACATTTCTTTTCGCATTCACAGTAGAGTTACGTAAACGTTACATGTGATATGTATATTTGGCACAGATGGTTATTCAATCATTGATCATTCAAAACTTAAAATTATGAGTTGAAACACCTTTTCGAGAAAAGACGGAACTAACGTTACCAGGTTAATACAACCAAGCCCATTTCACAGTGTTACATCCAAGACAAAGTTCTCGAAGACCAAGATCAAGGCCACAGATGCACAGATATATACATTGGTGGGACGACGTACCTACCTCCGTATCGACCTCGACGCCCTTGACAACAACCTCGCCATTCTCAGACGCCAGTGTTCACCGTTTACAGGTACCCGTAACAATTCATTTTTTGTCTCTTTAGCATCAAGGTATAATATATTGTCACTGCCGGGGTGTTAACACCGTCTGAAAGGAAAGGGATGTACCGAGGTCAACACACCTGGCTATGGAATCCGAGAAGGGACATTGTCGCTATGTCGCATTGTCGCCCTCTCAAAAACAAGTAAAGTGAGGCAAAATAAACCAAAACGCGACACGCGACATCGCGACATTTCGCCCATTTGTCGCATTGTTGCGATGTCGCGTGTCGCGTTTTGAATAATATTTTTCTATTCCTCCAGGGCGACACGCGACATAGCGACAATTTTCAAGGTCAAAATATGTCGCGTTGTCGCGCGTCGCCCTATCTAAGATGTGTAAAAGAAGCCTAAAAGTCACTAAAACGCGACGCGACAATGCGACATATTCAATATGTCGCATTGTCGCGTGTCGCGTTGTCGCCCTTTTCGATTACCGGTGCGCATGTGTAGAAAGTCAATGAGTCTACGCATGCGCAGAAAATGTTATACTCTATTTCACACTTCAGTGGTCTTTTGTTACCTCCAATGGTTTTTACAATGAAGTAGTACGCGTAATGGCAATGGAGGCTGCTTTTCTTGAACTTAATGGAAATCTTTCATTGTTGCTTTATTATGTTATATATTGTAAATGTGTTTAGCCAATCAAGTGTGTTTTAGCAGCCAGACAAATTATTAGCGCTACTATGCATTGTAATGACGGCACACGGTGGACCTGTCATTCAAGGCGGGGCAATTTGCTATGCAGAGTTGTGTCTCTTAGTCACATTAGATAACTATGATCATAGGTTCGAATCCCATCACCATACACATTCATCACTTTGAACATTTCACCCATATCAAGCTGACAGGTTGTGAAAAAACTCAAATATTGTTAAACTTCAGGCCACATCGGCATAAACATCAGGTGATGTCCTCGAATGAGACACTATGTTCGACAGTGTGGCTCCTGACAGAGTTTCTTGGTACAGTTCTGTCCGACGCTGATGAATTTGTCCGACAACTGCCTCTGTTCAGCCAGCAGTGGATGGATACCAGGTAGAATGAGATGGTAATATCACTTAACCATCCAACACCTCAAATACAGTTTGGGTCGGCTTTGAACGTGATATTCTTCTTGGGAAAACGCCATACAAATGGACTGTTATCATTATGATATTAGAAACGATGAAATCGCTTGGCAGAGTTGCGTACCCCTGGAGTGCCAGAAACCAACCCTCCCTCTCTCACTCACACTCCGCTCCACTGCGCTCCGCTCTTCTCCACCCCTCTCCTGTCCGCTCCACTCCACTCCTCTTCTCTTCTCTCCTCTCCACTCCACTCCGCTCCTCACTCACTGACTCACTCACTCACTCAAGGTTTAGGGAACTAGGTAAATTAGCAAGGTATTTCATTACAATACTGTGTTGTGATGTCTGTTTTCAATTCTATTTGAATCCTATATTATTAATCCTGCCATGTCATGATTCACAATATATCGATAATTTTCTCATACGATACTATACCAAGCGATACACATGTACTTGTATCCTTTCAAACATACACCTACTCAATCATAATAAATTTCAGCAAAATGGCCAGTTTCAACACATCCATTCCATTAACCAAGAACTCTTAACCCACAGACTTCACGGCCACGTTTATTATTACTCTGAGTTCGACCCCTGTGTATCTTAGCCCTTTAAAAACATCTAAACATAATCATCCTTGTAATAGTTTTGAAATTCCGCCGTAACTAATAAAACGCGACACGCGACAATGCGACAACGCGACATTTTGATGAAATGTCCTGTTGTCGCATTGTCGCGCGTCGCGCTTTGTTAACATATTGAGTATAGTATGTATTATAACGTATTTGACTAAAACGCGACACGCGATAATGCGACAACGCGACATTTTGATGAAATGTCGCATTGTCGTTTTGTCGCGTGTCGCGCTTTGTTAAAATATTGATTATAGTATGTATTATAAGGTATTGACTAAAACGCGACAACGCGACATTTTGATGAAATGTCGCGTTGTCGCATTGTCGCGTGTCGCGCTTTGTTAAAATATTGACTATAGTATGTATTATAACCACAGGGGTTCGAATCACTGTTTGGCCTCTCTTCGATAAACATCGACAGTTTCCGTGGATTATTTAATGACTCGGAAACAGAAAACGGCTCAGCCTGGTTCCCAGGGTCTGCTGCCCTAACGCTTCGACACTGAAAAAGCCATTTATTAACTTATTCTTTTCTTTTGTATTATGAGGAAATAATTGATAAACTTCAAACCATTGTTTTTTAACTGCGGGGGTGCTTGTAAAATTATCGGCTCTCATCAGTAACATAATACAGAAAAATATATTCCTTATCTTGAGTTACTTTGGTACATATAATTTGTAATAAAATTAAACAGATCCATCCATGTACACACTTTTTTTCGAAGAATGTTGTCTGAATCGGTTTGCAAAACAACATGAAAAGGTTTTACCAATATTATTCAGAAATGTTTATGATTAAAATAAACATGGGGAATCAAATGATCTGTACATAAAAACACACACAATTATACTGCTGAATACAATGAATTTGACCCACTATTTTACTAAATGAATATATACAAATACACAGTATGATCAGTATGCTAATACACTACCATAAAAATACATACATTGCCTTAAAAGTACATATATTTGAAGATTAACTTTTAATACAGATGTACATTCCGCTATTTGAGATTTTTACCAATGAAACTTGTCCTGAGTACTGTAGTTTTTATGGCTAGAAGCCAGTATCAGTGTATACATTTGGTATACATGTATACTATCCCAAAAAAGAAACGCATATAGGAATTTTAACTGTATTTTTATGTTTATTTTGAAACATCTTGTAGGCTTTATGAGTGAATGAAATATAGCGAAACTGCACACTGGGAATGCAGACTTATCCGTCTTTAGCACCAACTCGAGGAAAGTCAGCTGTTTGATGACGCAGGTGATGTACCCGGATGTAGCGATCCTGTGCCGCAGTGGTCGCTCAAGGTCGCCCACTACGAGGGGCATCTGCTACCGCATTCTGCCGGCGATATCTCTCCCAGAGCCGTGAAATGGTGCTTTGGTGAACATTCATGCGTCGGGCAACTGCACGTTGAGACTGGCCAGCTTCAAGCAAACCAATGGCGATATGACGGTTGGCTTCACTTAGACGTGGCATTTTGCGTTCGTCAACAATATTCCAAATACAGTGAATAATCGACAGACAACGATCAACCTTTTATACCAATCATTGAGACTATCTGATCCCCAACTTTCACGTGCATTGCATGTGAATTGTGTATTCTGTGACACTACACGCCGAAATTGAAACTCATGCTGTTAAATACGGGTATTTTACGGATGGTGCGTTTTGTTGTGATGTTTCAAAACATAAACACCATAGGACTCATAAACAGAGCAAAACCTTTTGTAAAATGAATCACGTTTTCATTCATTGCTACATGAAATTGCTATTTTCATGATGCGTTTCTTTTTTTGGAGAGTATATATTGATCGTTTTTGAGCATGATAACCCTGGTGATATTAGAATAGATCTGATACATGTTAATAATCATATAATTTGATATCAGCAATTATTCAGCAGTTAACAAGTTTGATAAAGTGCTACAATGGAGTCTTTTTGCGTTACTATATTATACTTTAGGGCCGTGCATACAATCATATTTCAACACATAATCAGTGATTTTACATTGAATTTTGGAGAATGACGGTGCTCTGAATTTGTTAGCCAGTTCACTATTGATATTTTTTTAAAATTGAAATTGTATGGTTTGTATCTAGAAATCTGGGTATTGTGTCAACACCTATCCTTCTTTGGACTAAAGCACTAACTACTCTTGGTGTAGAGATTGAAAAGGCTATTATGACATTGTACAGATATTAAAAGAAAGTTGGAAATATACCATGTCCAGATTTATTTAAGATATTTAGGGCTCCTTGCCTCTAGGCAGGAGACCTATTGTAATCGTTCGGATTATTAGGGCTCCTTGCTGCAAAGCAGGAGACCTATTGTAATCGTTAATGTTTTTATTATTATTTATTATTCCGCCGTATTTTGTACCAGCCCTACAAAGAGCACCAGTGGACAGAATCGCTTGAGAAAGGTCACCTAGATGCCCATCGAGGTGTAGATATTCCCCATTAAAATCTCAATGCTCTAGGCCCAATAGCAAAGGGCAGATAATTCAAAATAATTTTAAAAATTCAATTTCAAAAGCAAGTATGTGCAAAACTACTGATCTAATAAGTGCCAAAGTTCTTGAGCAGCTGCGCAATCAAAATGCCTACAATTTTGACTGGACGGGTCAAGTCGCTAAAATGTACCGTTTGGAAGTTATTTTTGTTTAACTGATGTCCAGTAACGATTTTGCAAATTCTGCACAAAAAGTGCCAGGACGATAGACGAAGTCTTGGTGATTCCAGAACACTACCTGTTTTGACCATAGACTAAAGAACAACTGAGATACCGCCTTTTAAAGAGGGAACTATTTCTTCTCAAGAACTTCTTAAAAGTAACATGACCCCCGTGACCCCGGCTGCATTTCAACGATTCGCTCCCGTGTCAAAAGCGTGTTCTGGCTGCGTTTGGGACGATTTCTAGCTCTAAAATACAATTCAAACACCCGTAACTCTGAAACCAACCGTCCGATTTCGACCAAAATGTACCTGTACAAGTGGGCTATTAGTGTGGATTATAACTAACGATTGCAGTAATGTATCTCCAAAGACAACAGAGGGACAAGTGAAATTATATTTTCCACATTTTAGTTGCTATCTTCATCGGTTCTCTAGAGAACACAATGAAAGTTAGCCGTATGTATCTCAAACGTTAGCTGATCAGTTTCTGTTCTTCGGTGCATGTGAAAAGTATCACCGTTTGGTACATATCTTCTCCATGATTGTTAGAGGTAATTAAGATAGATGTTTGAACAA